GGACAGCGGAGTGCTACCGTGATGGCTACATGTCCCTGCACAGAGACGGAAAAGCCCCTCTCCCAGGAAGTCCAGGGGCTTTCCGTCAGCACTGTTAGTCCCTCACCTCCTGCACCCAGAACCCTGGGTGGCCCTGAGGCACGTCCCACGTGCAGCGAGGACACCGGGAGAGGTAGCAGGAGGTTCTCTGGACCAGGGCTGGAAACAGGGATGCACATGAGATCACCGGGCAGCGTTTCACAGCACCTCGCGCCCAGGCCCCGACCCGCCGCACAGGGCAGACCGTGGGGAAAGGCCCCACCTCAGCACAGTGTGTGTGACCTCGGGCGAGTTGGTTAACCTCGAGGAGCCTCAGTTTTCTCACCTGCGGAGTGGGGGCAACAATGGCACACCAGCACCACCCTGCTGTGAGGTGAAAGAATTACCTGTTCACACGCCTTCTCTCGGGTCACACGGAGAGCGTGAGCATGTGTGTCCAGTGCCCTGAGGAAAGGAACAAGACTACTTGTGTGGTGTCTCCTGTCCCTGAGGCCCCCAGCCACCCCAGAGCTGGACGGGACCCCTTTTTGACCCCCGTACCCTGGTCACAGGCAGCAGGATGCGGAGGGCAGCCGCGCTGAAGGCCTGACCCTGCAAAGCACAGTCGGGGGCCAGCACAGGCTGAGCCCCGGTCCAGAGCTGGGTTCTGCCATCTCTTCAGGGAGGCCTGGGAGGGGACAGCACCATATTTAACCAGCTCCCTGTGAGGTTCTGGAGCAGCTGGTCTGCAAGGCTGCGCTCAGACTTCGGGTTCTAGCTGGTCAGAGCAGCAGGCTCTTCCTTGCAGGATCACTAGCTCCCCCTTCTCTCCCCTTCCTGCTGCCCACCCACCGCTAGGGTCCTCCCCACTTAATTAGCAGGCAAGTCCAATTCTGGGAGGACTGAATGAGTCCCTTCTGCTCCAGGGCATTCCTCACAGTGTCCCTTTGTAGCTGCCAGCCTCCTGACCAGGCTGAACTGGGTCCTCAGCTGTTTACTCTCAGGGCAATTTTGACTTTGCCTCGCAGCTCCCACCTTCGAGGCTGCGATCTGGGCCCAGTGGGCCGGTGTGGGACAGCGTTTCCCTCTGGAGAAGCGGCTGGCCACAGGCGGGGCCCGGTGCCGCAGACACCCCTGGGCTGGCTGTTTGCAGGGGGTGTGTCCACCCAAACAAACATGCTTGGAGGTGAGAAGGGCAGCCAGCCAGCCCAGTGAGAGGGGGACAGTCTGTCAAATGGGCTCCCCAGCCCCCCACCTCGCTCCCGCGGCTGAACACTGCACCCCCCACAGCTCCCCGAGGGTGCAGAGCTCCCCACCTTGAGACAGCAACCCTACAGAAGGCTCCACAGAGGCAGACATTCCTCCAGACGCAGGCAAGGCCCCTTCCCACTGGCAAGAGCCTGTGGCTACCCTCCCCAAAAGGCAAACTGGCCCCTCCTCTAGGAAAGGGTGACTCCCCCAGGTGGACTGGGGCTGGGGGCACAGGTAGGGGGGCAGAACAGGAGCCAGAGGTGGAGACTACCTCCCGCACCCCTGGAACAGGCTGGGGCTCTGCTTACCAAGCCAGCCCGACCACTCTGGGGTTGGAGACCTCCCGCCACAGGTCGCCCTTGTGAAGCTCGCAGCACAGACTGGGCCATCTAGGCACCAGGCTCCGCGAAGTTCAAGCCCCAGCTCCTGCTGAAGACTGACACCTGTCTGCCCTACCCGGGCCTGGGCCTGTCAACGACCAGCTCTGCGGGGCTACTGTGGGGACCAAGGACTGCAGGGAGCAGCCGTGGGAGGTCTGGTTCTACGATTTGGGATTTCCTACAAAGAGCACATGTAATCATGATCGACTCATACGAAAGTCCACTGTGCTCTGCGCGCGGTCGCAAGGCTCCGGCCGGACCCCGTAGACCCTGACGCTCTTGCACCGCCCGCAGTCCGGCCAGCTCTGCTGCGCGGGGACCTGGAGACCGCTCGCCTGCTCCCGGACCAGTGAGGACGCACGCGCAGCTCGAGGTCGCCGGGCACAAAGCTTTGCGGACAGCGCCCCCTGCCGTCCAGAAGCGCCCAGGGCTCTGCGAGTGGGTCTGGCCGAACCAAGACCTGGCACTGGGTTTTGTGGAGTTGCCCGGAGGGGTGCCGGATCTTGGAGGGGAGGGTCAACTGACCACAGCCCTGTCGTTCTCCCAGAGCCCGAAACCCCCCTCCGCAGAAATGGGGCCTCCCATTTGCGAGGGACTGCCTTTGAGGGAAACTGAGTCGTAAAGGATCTTAAAACCCCGGGCTGGGAATGGGAAGCTCACAAAACCGATGGCTGTTATCTGGCTGTCTCTACGTGAAACCTTCTGCGGGGTCCTGCACCGCGACCCCTCAGAAGGCTGACAGGGCTGCCGAGAGCGCCCCCTACCAGGCCCCAGGCCTGGTGCACCCCACTGGCTGGGCCACAGGCTCACGGAGGCAGGCCAGGACCCCACCTCCGGAGACCAACTCGGCCCCTCCAGGGCCACTCGCTAACGGACCCTGGCTGAATGCAACCCGCTGGTTTCATTGACAGGCAGGCAGCGACTTGCCTGAGGCCACACAGCCCCTCAGTAGTGGGCAGAGCAAACCCGCAGCTCTGTCGGGGAGACTGCCACCCACCCCCGTGCCACACAGGCGGCGGAGCAGGGAGGCTGTCACGAGCTCCCACCCAGCTCTGCCACCGCGGGCTCTGTGCACGTGGCAGGTCCCTTCCCCTCTGAGCGGAGCAGGAAAGGACTGGCAACAGCCCTGCGTGGTCTAGGATCCCCAGGGCACACCCAGGGCCCCTCCCAGGTCACCCCCACAGGTCCTGCAGCTTCCTGTGCTTTTCACAATGTTTATATTGAAACTACTCCGGGAGGTCATTACTTCCACGTCAGGACTAAGGACGTGGCTGGGCACTGCGGAACCACAAGGACTCTGCGGGGGGGGGGGGGGGGTGCGGGGGCGGGGGCTGGCAGGTCTTCCCAGCATCCCTCCCTTTCTGGGTGAGACAGGAGTTTTCGTTAACGATTTGAGGGGCTGGACCAATGTACAGGAGGAAGGAACATCTCTTTTGCAAGTTAATCAGAAAAAGGGCTGGGGAGCTAAAAATATTTTAAAGAGCTTCTCCTAAACAGACTAAGCTGCTCCGACGTATACTGCATGTACTCGTGTGTGCATCTGAATGGCTCCTGCTGGCATCTTTAAGAATCCATCCCCCAAGCTAGAACCAAATGGAAGTGCTTTTACACACCGGGAGCCTCTCAGCCACGCTCAAGGGAAATCGAGCTGTCCCCCAGCTCCCGAGCCCGGACCACTCACCGAACCCTATGGCACTTTCGCTATGTGGGAGCCGTACCCCAAAGCAAAAGGTTGCAGTTTCAATTCCCAGTCAGGGCACATGCCTGGGTTGAGGGCCCATGCAAGAGGCACCTGATAGATGCTTCTCTCACACAGATGTTTCTCTTCCTCTCTGTCTCCTCCCTTCCCCTCTCTCTAAAAAGTCTTTTTTAAAAAGTCACCCAAAATACCCCATTCATCAGCAAAAAAGTTAAACACCATGAATAAGGATCCGTCGATAAAAATGACACAGTATTGCCCCTTACCCACAGGAAATACATCCCGAGATCCCCAGTGGATGCCTGAAACTGAACAGTACCAAGCCCTATATATACTGTTTTTCCTGTACATACACGAGTTTAGTTTGTAATTTAGACACGGTAAGGTATTAACAATAACTAAGAAAATGGAATAATTACAATAGGCTGCAGAGACGTGAGTGTGAGGCTCATTTTGGGGCGCAGGCCGAGGGCTCTGGCACAGCGGGGCGGTCCCCTCCATACCCTCCACCCCAACTTCAATGCCCTTCCCATCTTAGCGGAGCCCTTCCCACGCACCGCGCGGCCCTAACTCGTGCAGGCTGAGGTGCAACGGCAAAGCCAGCCCAAATCTTTTGCCTTCCCCACCATTTCAGACAGATCTGTCCTCACCAGAGATCTTGGGGCCCTCAGCGTACTTTTCTCTCTTTCCCTATTAGGTGAACTTTCACCTTTTCACGTAACAGGAGCATTTGGCAGCTCCCCTGTGGTGTATCCAACCTGCCGGCATCACTACTCCTGCACTTGGGGGCCATTAAGTAAAGTGGGGGTGACTTGAACACAAGCACTGAGTGACGAGGGGAGGGCAGTGTTGTCCCCCAGTGTCGGGGACACTGGACAAAAAGATGACGCCACCCAGGACGGGAAAAAGCGAGGTGGCAAGAGACTTCCTCGTGCTCCTCAGAGTGGCACGCAGTTGAAAACCTATGAATTGTCTATTTCTGGACCCTTCGTTGAACACCTTTGGACCAGGGTGGACCAAGGGTAACAAGTCACCGGCACCCGAAACTGCAGACAGCAAAACGGCAAATAAGCAGAGGCCGCCGTGGCACAACGCACAGGAAAAAGCAATCACTCCGAAAGGGGAGAAGGGCGTATGTAGGAGACTTTTTACAATTTCTGCATTTGTAGAGATTACCGAAGAAACTGAAATGCTCTTAGAACACACAATTAAAGCAGGCAGGGAACAGTCTCAGTGAGCTTATAAACGTTAACCAGTAATAACCGCACTGACGGTCACAGCTCAGCCATCAGTAGACACTTTAAATACGAGCTTTATTTTAAATTTAAAGAACAACTGATGATAAGTATTTTTTGTAACTTAAATCAACATTTAAAACACAGCTTAGGAATGTTTAGCAATAATTCTTTTTTTTTAAGATTTTATTTATATTTTAGAGAGGGTAAGGGAGAAAGAAAGAGAGGGAAACACTGATGTGTGGTTGCCTCTCACGTGCCCCCTACTGGAGACCTGGACCACAACCCCGGTATGTGCCCTGACTGGGAATCAAACCTGTGACCCTTTGGATTGCAAGCTGGTGTTCAGTCCACTGAGTCACACCAGCCAGGGCTTAAACAACAATTCTTAGTTCAAAATAAGGACACTCATCCTGGTGTGGGCTAATATGAACTTTATTTCAATCTACTAGTTTATATAAGCTTAACCATTTAATCCTTCCTAAAATTCAATGGTTATAATTCAGCTTCATAAGGTTAAACCAGTAAAACCAGTCTCCTATATAGCTTTTTAAACATAATACATATACACCAGCTAGAAAACTATAAAAACGTACACAGATCATACAGGGCTTGATTAGCAGGCTGCCTATATACAGACAGGCGCACGCGCGTCTGCAGAAAGCTCACAAACGCGCCGCACCCAGTGTCAATGCCATTCTCTGACGCCGCAAACTGCACGGTTATAAATGTCACGCCACTATGTATGGACTGAGAAATATACATATTAAAAAAAATAAAACTCCTTGAAGACAGGGGAGTGCAATGTGCCTGCATTGAGAGCAGAAACGCGGAGGTTTCTGTACGGGACGTTGCCGGGCGACCTGTCCCCTAGCGACCTGTCCCCAGGCGGCCCCCAGGCCCCGCAGAGAGCAGCCGCCGCCCTCAGAAGGACAGGATGGTCTTGTTGATGATTTCCACGGACTCCTGGATCTCGTCCTCCTTGATCACGAGCGGCGGGGCCAGCCTGATGATGTCGCCGTGCGTGGGCTTGGCCAGAAGCCCGTTGTCTCGAAGTCGCAGGCACACCTTCCAGGCATCGTAGTCTGAGGAGAAACAGTCAGACACGCCTGCTGATCAGAGACGACATTTCGACACCACCCCCCACCCGCAGGCAGAGCAGACCCACCCGGCGGAATTCCCACTCCCACTCCAGGAAGGCAGCTCGGCGCCACGAGCTTGCTTTGTTCTAGTCTTAAAAAGGAAGTTACTTGTCAGCAAGTACATAACTAGGTTTGAATGGTATCATCAGACATACGGTTTTTGTTAAGTTTTTCATAAAAGAAAAAGCAAAAAAAACGTATGCGCTAAGACTGCCATACTAACTACAGGAGGACCCAAAGCAAAAAGAATCTGGGTATCACAGATAACAAACTGGCTGGAAACGAGCAATACCCGAAACCCAGCGAACGCCGCACACCCCCGCACCGACCTGCTTCCTGACCCGCAGGGCCGACCCGCGTCGGGGGGGGGCGCGCTCCCAGCCCCTGGCATGCTGCGGCCCCTCCGTGCCTGGGTCCCCGACCCACCGAGTCAGAGCTTCCAGCTGGAGTCACTGTCCTGAAAGCCCCCCAGGTGTTTCCGAATCACCGCTCTGAACCCCGGGTACCACGACACACTCCCGCAGGGAACCCCAAAGGGTTACAAGTGAGACGCTAAAACACCCGACGGTTAGCCAACCAAGTGGCCGCTCAGGGTGTTTCCAGCACCATCCTCGCCATTCATGCCATCATCGGCGCTGTCCCTACCGCTCCGCTGACCCCCAAGTTTCAAAGTGAGTGAGGACAAGGGAGCAGAGAGGACGAGCGCGTGGGAGTGCTCTGTGCAGACTCACTAACAGAAGTAACTGTGGGTCTCCGAGTGCCCGGTAACCAACCCAGGGCAGAATGACAAACGTCTGAGATGCACAAGACCAGGGCAAATGATTCCCACGTGCCTTCCCGCAGGAAGAGACCCGCATTTTTTAAGACTGGTAGACAAATCAATGACCCTGAGCCTGAAAGAGCCAACCGGGTCAGAGGTTGGCCAGCCACGGGTGTCAGAGGGACCCAGTAACTAGACAAGATGCCAGGCGCGTCCGAGGCCTTCCTACACAAGTGACACCCTGAGAGGACGTGTGTCTCCGCACCTTTGGTGGCCCGGATGACGATGGCGTTCAGCAGGCCCTTGCCGCGCACCGCGGTGACGATGTCGGACGGCAGCTTCATCAGCTCGTTTCTCAGGATGGCGCCCATTCTGTCTGCATTTTCAGCAAGGTTTTCTTCTTCCAAAACCTACGTTTGGAAAGAGACCGCACAGATGTCACACCCGCCTTTCCTTCTACGTTGTTCTTTGGAGGGAGGTGTGGAAGGTACACAGAGGAAGAGCCTGACTGAAGACTTGAACTTCCATGTCAATTTTTCAAAGCCTGTACCAGTTTAAATTTTTTAAAGGTTTTATTTCTTTATTTTTTAGAGAGGGAAGGGAGAAAGAGAAGGAGAGAAACATCAATGTGGGGTTGCCTCTCACACACCCCCTACAGGGCCCTGGCCTGCAACCCAGGCATGTGCCCTGACTGGGAATCGAACCAGCAACCCTTTGGTTTGCAGGCTGGCTCTCAATCCACTGAGACACACCAGCCAGGGCTAATTTCTAATTAAACACATACTAGCTCAGACAGAACCTTGCTCGGTCACAAACCCATCACAAATCTGCCTTGATGGCAAAATAAGACTTAAAACTTGTTAAAGGCAACTAATATATTCTTTTCTTTTTTTAATTTAAAAAAAATTTATTTCTTTTTAGAGAGATGGGAAGAAAGGGAGAGGAAGAGAAATATTGATGATGGGCAAGAGAGGACCTGGCCCACAGCCCAGGCATGTGCCCTGACCATGAATCAAACCAGCGACCCTTTGGTTCACAGGATGACATTTGATCCACTGAGCCACACCAGCCAGGGTGGATATATTCTTATTAGTTGAATAAATCAGTGGATTAAATATAGTTTCATTTTTAACTGTAACAGTTTTTTTTCCCTTAAAAGGCCATCCTTACAAATTACACAAATGTATGCCGTTGGTAGGCACTTAAGTACTAAACCTGAAAGTGTTCAAATGCATACACAGAAAACACCCCGTGTGCTAAGGTCGAGGCCTGGTGGCCAGACCTGGTCACAGAGAGAGCCCTGGGCGGCCCCCCAGTGCTGACAGGACCAGAGCCTCTGGGAACTGCAGACCCTAAATGCCCACGGAGGACCCCCATCTTCTACATCAAGGCTAAATGGCTTTTTGAAAAGGCCATGCTTCTGAAGCCATCCCTCTGCTCCTCGTGTTCTATGACACTGGCCAACCTCACGGCCTCTCTCCGCACACCCAGGGTTCGAACTTCCCAGTCACTTCCGCACCACACGCGGAATGAGCGCCACCCGGCTGCGCCAGTCTTACCTCGAGGGCCGCAATGGCCACTCGGCAGCCCAGAGGGTTGCCCCCGTACGTTGACCCGTGCTCCCCGGGCTTGATGGTCAGCATGATGTCATCGTCACACAGGACTGCAGACACCTGAAAGACAGCGGTCAGGGCTCGGCAGACCACTTCCCAGCAGAGCTGTTCTGACTCTCAGCACACCAGGGACACAAAGACGCACAAAACTGATGGTAACTTGGACATAAAGCTTCAACAAACAAGAGCCGCACAGGGGCCTCCTTTGCTGCCAGGGGCGAGCTGGGGGATGACCCCGCACTTCACCCCGAGCATCACAGGCCCACTGTGACCGCACGGCGCAGCCGCACTCTGGAGCCAAGACACAGCTGCTCCTGTGGTAACACAAGTAACTGCTTCGAAACCGACATTCTGCACTGTCCCTCTGAGCCCTCTAACCCACACGGGTGGGTGGCTCAGGGGCGTGCCCGAGAACGCAGCTACGACAAAACACGACGTCTTCCTGACCTCTGCGTGAACCCATCACGGCTCCAAACCCTTAGTAACTCCGTGCTTCTGAACCATGGGGAAGAGCAGAGGGGTCCACAGGAATACTTCCGGGGTGAAACGCTTCCATCCAAAGCAAACCTGGCAGCAAATTCCAAGGCACACCCAACTCTCCAGTTAAAAGTGACTAAGGGGCCGCCCTACGGAGCTCTGACGTGTCGTGACACATTTCCCGGGGACCTACAGCTGCTAAGACCAAGCTGTAAGAACAGTGCCGTCATCACAGTCGGCTGACGTGGAACACATCTTAGGGACGCATTCCGTGGACGCAGGGAATAGAAAGAGGGTTAGCGTCAAACTCACAGGGTACAAGCCTCCAGAAAGTGCCTTTCCGAGCAGGACCAGATCAGGTCTGACTTTCTCATGGTCGACGGCCAGCCACCGGCCAGTTCTGGCCAGTCCTGTCTGTATTTCGTCAGCGATAAACAGAACCTGATGGAGAGCAACGTAACAGCAGTCAGCACCAATTTCACTCCCACGGGGAAATGGCCGTCTGTACTCCTCCCATCCCCCACACAAACGTGACCTCTGCCATTCCCTCAGACTTGTGAACACAGTTTAATCGCCCATGTCTGTAGTGCCCTGGGACAACCCTGTTAGACACACCATGTCCCCGGGTCAGGCCACTCTCCCCGGAGGCCCACTCTGCTCAGTCCTACACAGTGGAAAGGCACCAACGCCAAGTGAGGGCTCTCTCGGGGTTTCTGAATTGACCCGCTCTCCGGAAATAAATTAATTCACTTGCTCACTCCACGATCATTACTAACCCTTTACTGATTAAATATGTACCAGCGTGGTGGGAAGAGGGGAGAATTCAAAAGCTGGCGCAGAGGACAAGGGCTGGGGAGGAATCAGAACAGGCAGCTGCAGAGCCCTAGAAAGGGCTGACACACTGAGAGCGATGTCTCCCCCTAGTGGAGAGCTTGGGTCATCGTTGCATGTGTCCCACCAGCCAAACCCTAAGAGATGCTGCGGGCAGTTGGAGAACAGGGGCTGCGGACCTGGTGCCGCGTGCAGAGTTCCCGCACGCCCATCAGGTAGCCCGCTTCCGGAACAATAACGCCCGCTTCACCCTGAATCGGCTCTACCATGAACCCGGCGACGTTTGGATCCTGAAGAGCACGCTACAAAAAAAAAAAAAAGAATACATTTCAGTCACTTCCTTTCAAACCTGTTTGGATTATCTGAAGTCACAGTGCACGTACAGAATTTCCTGTTGAGAATAAATATAACATTTCTGACTGACATTCAACTACCAAAAACTCTAAACACTTCAGCTTTAAGGTACTCTATCCTACATTTTCTAACATATAGGAAAGTATACTGGAACCCAAAATTAGAGAAAATGGCCTTTGCAGAAGCCGTTTTAGGTGAATCTTTATTTTTACAAGTTCTCCACTCTTAATTTTCAAAAGCTCGCTGAAAACTTAGTCATTTACCTAGTAATTATACAGATACTCTCCGAGTCAATGCTTACACAGGACACAAATTTAAAGTGTCAGCAGGGTGTTGGGGTGAGACCACAGACCTCGGTTCCCACGCTGGACACTAACTAACCGTTGCAGAAACCAGTCTGATACCTTGGCCTACCTTATATAAGACAGGTTTTCATTAGTCACACCTATGTTTAATTCATACATTCTACAAATTTAAGTCCCACTGACTATGAGCTAAAGCACGCAACACCAGCGACATACCTCAAGAGCTGGCAGGTCATTGTACGGAATAATTTCGAAACCTGGCATAAATGGCCCAAACCCATCGTAACTGCTTGGGTCTGTGGAACTAGAGATCGCAGACATAGTTCTACCCCAGAAGTTTCCAGCTAGAAAGGAGAAATACACAGTATTTATGTCAAACAAACACCCAAATTTAAAAAGCACGGTCCCCCCAAAATACCTTAGGAAAGTTTGAGTTTTGAAAAACCAAGGTTTTGCCCTAAATGGTGTGGCTCAGTGCCATGAGTGCCTGCCTGCAAACTAAAAGGTCACTGGTTCGATTCCCAGTCAGGGCACATGCCTGGGTTGAGGGCCAGGTCACCCGCAGGGGACCCAAGAGAGGCCTGGGTCAATGTGTGGAGAGAAACACCACACACTGATGTTTCTCTCCCTCTCTTCGTCTCTAAAAATAAATAAATGAAGACTTCTGCCAAGATGGAGGCATAGGTGGAAACACTGTTCCTTCTCGCACAACCAAGTCTAAAAACAACAAAGTTTTAGCAACAAAAACTGCAGCCAAACCACAAAAAATTGAACAATACAAGAGTCCGACAACAACGAACCATTCAGCCAGACCCATAAGAGAGGCAGAGCCAGCAGCGGAGCAGGTCAGGCAAAAAAAATCCCCCAACCCAGGCGCGCAGGCAGCCATGGGCGGATCCCAGGTGTGGGGTAGCAATGGGAGGACCCAGTCAGGGTGCAAGGCAGCAGGCTGACCGAGATCACACATTAGGGCGCAGATAAACCAGCAAAGGAGCAAGCACTGAGACAGACTATGCAGGCCCCAGGGGCGGGAAGGAGCAGAGGGGACCACCATTGTCCCTCTCTGACCCCGCCCCCACATGCAGCGTCACAAACCAGCGACCTGGGTGGCCTCACCCTGGTGAACACCTAAGGCTCCCCTCCTCATACGTAACAGGCACAAACAGATCAAAACATGGCTCAAGAAGAACTCAGAGCCCCAGAGCCGATAAATCTAAGCGAACAAGAAATTGCCAACCTATCAGAGGCACAGTTCAAAACACTGGTGATCAGGATACTACTCACAGAACTGGTTGATTTTAGCCACAAATTAGAGGAACAAATGAAGGCTAAACTAATTGAAATGAAGGGAAATGCACAGGAAACCAATACTGATGAAAAGGAAACTGGGACTCAAATCAAGGAAGTAGACCAGAAGGAAGAAAAAAATGACCAAACAAAAAAATATGAAGAAACAAGAATTCAAAAAAATGCGGAGAGGCTTAGGAACCTTCAGGACATCTTTAAACGCTCCAACATCCAAATTATAGGGGTACCAGAAGGGGGAAAGGCACAGCCAGGAGTGGAAAACTTATTTGAACAAATAATAAAAGAGAACTTCCCCATTCTGGCAAAGGAAATAGACTTCCAGGAAATCCAGGAAGCTCAGAGAGTCCCAAAGAAGTTGGACCCAAAAAGGAACACACCAAGACAAATCATAATTACATTACCCAAGATTAAAATGAAGGGGAGAATTCTAGAAGCAGCAAGAGATAAGAGGACAGTCACCTACAAAGGAGTTCCCATAAGACTGTCAACTGATTTCTCAAAAGAGACCTTACAGGCAAGAAGGGGCTGGAAAGAAGTATTCCAAGTCATGAAATCCAAAGACCTACAACCAAGATTGCTCTATCCAGCAAAGCTTTCATTTAGAATGGAAGGACAGATAAAGTGCTCCTCAGATAGGATCAAGTTCAAGGAGTTCATCATCACCAACCTCTTATTATATGAAATATTAAAGGGACTTATCTAAGAAAAAGAAGATAAAAAATATGAACAGTGAAAGGACAGCAAACTCACAGTTATTAACAATTTCACCTAAAACAAAAGCAAACTAAGAGGACAGCTAGATCAGGAGCGGAAACATAGAAATGAAGATCACATGAAGGGTTAGCAACAGGGGAGTGGGAGGAGGAGAAGGGGGGAGAAGGTACAGAAAATAAGTAGCATAGAACATAGATAGAAAATAGACAGGGGGGAGGGCAAGAATAGTAGGGGAAATATAGAATCTAAAGAACTTGAGACACATGGTCATAAACTAAAGGGGGGAGGGATGATGGGGGAGGGGTGTGCAGGGTGGAGGGGAATGAAGGGGGGAACTAGGACAACTGTAATGGCATAATCAATAAAATATATTTAAAAAAATAAAATAAAATAATAAAAATAAAAATAAATAAATGAAATCTTTAAAACAGAAAAGGAAACCCAAAGGTTTGCTTTAAAAAGAGTTTCCAGTGAGCTTCCCTTGGTTACAAGTCTGATGTCAAACACCACGGGTCCCAAGACCACCAAGCTCTGGCCCTGCAGCCACCACCTCAGGCACCGATCTTCTGAACTCTCAGCTGGAACACAGACCCCCGAGGACAGACAGCTGTCCCTCTTCTCACCGTCCCAAACCCTAACCAGAGACACGCAATGCCTGTTTTTCTAGAGACAGCGCACCCACAGAAGTGAAGTAAAAAGAACACCCCTTCATAGAGAATTAGCAATTTTCCTTTAAAAAACTCCGCTTGTATGGGCTAACTAGTCTACAGGACGAATTTTACATTTCCTCTGGGGAAAATGTCTTCAGACAATCCAAACACTTTCAGCTTTGCCATCCTGGGAATTGTAATCTCCTGTGTGCAATGACAGACCTCCGCCTTTGTACACAAACACATTTTACCCACTGACTCACTCATTTCATTAGTGACCCTGACTGAGGACCTGCTCCAAGAGGGCACCGTGCCCTTGGAGATGGAAAGATAGAATGGTGACCGGGATTGACAAGTGCCCAGGGAGAAACACTGTCACACAGAGCAAATGCGTGCGGTCATTTCCACTGGGCTAAATTCAAAAAGGGAAGAACAACAATGAAGAATAAGAGAGACTTGCAGGTTCTCCTACTTTTTTTTTTTAATTCTCTTCCCACCACCGACTCGATTAACCCACTACTGAATCACTGCTTCATAGCATCTCTAAACACCACTCCTGCAAAGTGTCTCACCTATGAGTAACCCGCACTTCACCGGTCCACAAGCAGCACACACTGACTCTGACCAGGCTTGTATAGAGAAATGCGCGCACCGGACTAAGTCCCTTTGCTGTTTCCGTCCAGCCTCAGGAGCCTCATCCTTCGGCCGTACCCTGCAGTGTCAAGGACTGACCGCTAGGGGCAGCCTTCGGTCTCCAGGTGAAAACAGCTTTGCTAATGTAAGAGACAGAACACGGGTGGTAAGAATAAAAATCACCAGAAAGGCCATTTTTGGTAGGAAGAGACAGTTATGTTGTCCTACAACTAAGGCGCAAGGTTCCAAAATGGCAGGTCACAGAGCTGGGCAAAGATCTCTCCTTTCTCTGTAGTAATCTGTTACCATGTGCAGTGATAAGTTTATCCATGTTCTGTTTTTAGAAATTAAAATCAAAGCTTTGTAAAATGTCACAGTCTATCAAGGAACCTCGCTATTAAGATGCCCAAAGTCAGCTTGCATCACCGCAAGTAACGGCTGTGTCTCCCCAACCAGTGTTCAGGTCGCCCTCTGAACCCCTCCCTGCAGTGCACCCAGTGACTCCAGCCCCCTCCCCCCACTACTTCTAGGGGCCTCATACGACAGCACATGAAATATTAAGACTCACACTTCACATCATGCCTGGGAGATGGCCCCACTGGAACAAAACCAAGCTCAACAACCTAACAAAGACGCTCTACCAACAGTCCATCTAAGTAACAAAAATCTGCTGCAAAAACAGATAAGCAGATGAGAAGTAAATCACAGTCACTCATTTTAGAGGAGGGAGTAGGAAGTTATTTAAAAAAGAAAAATCTCATACACGAATATTTAGAAATAAACCTAAGAAAAGAAACTCTCCATTTTTATAAAACAATGAACAAATAAATAATGTCATGTATGAAGCAAACACACAGGAAGTATTTCATCAGTAAATTAAAATGGTAAGCGACACTGTGTGTCTAAATCACAGTGTCGGACGTCACATACCTGCAAAGATGATCTTCGCCTTGTACTTCGGAATGCCCTTGACGCTGTACCCCCACCTCCGAGCGAGTTTGCATGCAGTCTCCCCGGCCTCCACGCCTGACGGGACAGAAAATGTCTCCGTTTCTGACGATGTTTTAAATTACCAACAAACAATAAAGCTACCTCCTTGGCTCATAAAAGAAAACGAAATGTTTTACCCGTATTCATCGGGAGAACTTTGTGGTAATTGAACAGTTTCGTCACGTACTCTTCGTATTCACCAAGGACGGTGTTGTAGAAAGCCCTGGACGTCAGGGTCAGCTTGTCGGCTTGGTCCTTCAGCGCGTCCACAATCTTTGGGTGGCAGTGGCCCTGGTTGACAGCGCTGTACGCGCTCAGGAAGTCGAAGTATTTCCTGCCTTCTACGTCCCACACATAAATACCTAAAACACGCGAGGAAAGATAACTGCAGAAAATCACAAAGTCCGGGATATGCTGAAAAGTAACTTCAGGAAATCACAAAATCACATCAAGTTCAAAAAGACTGCTAGCACTGTGGGTAAGGCATGTTTGAGTTTAAGCAGAATAAACTCTGGTTTATGAAAAATTATTTTATCTGCCCAGCTTCAAACTAACATTTAACAGTATAACATAAAAAAGTTAGAACTTAAAGGGAGGAATTATACATAACATAAAAATCATGATTAAGCCCTGGCTAGTGTAGCTCAGTGGATTGAGCGCGGGCCTGTGAACCACACAATCACGGTTCGATTCCCAGTCAGGGCACATGCCTGGGTTGCAGACCAGTTCCCAGCAGGGGGCGCACGAGAGGCAACCATACATTGATGCTTCTCTCCTTCTCTCCTTCCCTTCCTCTTTAAAAATTAATTAATTAATTAATTAAATCTTTTTTTAAAATGTGTTTAAAAAAAATCATTAGTTAACTGTAACAACCAACAAAATAGGAAAAAGTACTTCTGTCATGTATCTTATCAGGTTCTAGTAGCCAGCACTCCTACGACTCAAGGAAAAGACACAACCAATTAAAATGGGCAACGAACGTGAGTTCGCATTTCTCCAAAGAGGAGACGACATACAAAGGGAACATACGAATGACCGATGAGCCCGTATGAAGATGCTCAACATCACAAGTCCTTGGAGAAATGAAAGTCGAAACCACAATAGCATCGCACACCCAGTGTGATGATTCCAAATTTTTTTAAAGAAAGAAGAACAAATGTTGGCAATGTAGAGAAACTGGAATTCTCTTATTAAATGGTGCAGCAGCTATGGAAACAGTTTGCTTTAAGTCTAAAATTACGCCAAGATAGAAGTTCAAGGGGAAAATGGGAGCAGTATCACAGTGCTTCACTTAAGCATGTTACATCTCTCACGACAAACACGGACTGAGCTCGCCTCCGCCCTCCCCACGGCACCTGACTCAGCCGACGCTCAGACGCTCAGTAACTGCTGAGTCGCTGTATCGCAATATAGAAATTAAAGGCCTCTGGAGAAATGCGTACTGAGAAAATAACTGGGTTGGCCAAAAATGTTCCTTTGGTTTCTTCCATAAGATGGCTGTAGTTGTACTTAATCGTCTTGAACTTCATTCGAAACAATGTTGGTACAATGCGTGTGACAGCCGTCCTATCGGCGTGCATTAAAAAAAAATCTTGTCAAAATTGGTGAATTTTTGTGTGGCCATTTGAATATTGAAGAGGGAAGAAAACGCAGTATTTTTGGCATATTATGCTTTAATTTTTTAAGAAAGGTAAAAATACAACTGAAATGCTCAAAAAGATTTGTGCCGTGTGTGGAGAAGGTGCTGTGACTGATCGAACTTGTCAGAAGTGAAGTTCGTGCTGGAGATTCCTCGCTGGACGATGCTCCACGGTCGGGTGGACCAGTGGGAGTTGACAGCGATCCAATCCAGACATTAATTGGAAACAGTCAATGTTACACCACATGGGAGATAGCCGACATACTGAAAATAGCCAAATCAATAAAGTTACTGGTGAAAATGAAAAATGTGTCTTTTATTTTAAGGAAAAACCATACGGCCTTTCTTGGCCAACCCAATATAAAAGCAATTTTTATCAAAGGTTTTGCAGCAAAAAAGGAGGGATCTTGGATAACTCGAAATGTACCTTTCCCTCTCTCCAGGGCCACAGGTAAGGGATGGTAGTTGTGCGCGCCATACTTAGATTCCCGTTCAAACACGTAATCGGAGGACGGAGGGGGGCCTTGGACTGTTTTCTTCGTAGCAACCGATGTAACAGAAGCCGCTGATGAATGAACCCCCCGACAAAGCACCCCGACAGTCTGGAAACGGGCCAGTTTGGAGAACATGGCGTCCTTCAAGCAGGAATGTCACGGATCTGTCTGAAGGAAAGAGAAGGCGTCGAGACGGAGTCGGTGGGTGTGGACTCATTAAAGTACTACTGAGCTTTTGCCATGGTCCACCAAGAAATCAAGAACGTGAGGACTAAAACCTCCGGGAAACCTGGAGACAAACAAGGGGAACGAGTATACAAATATTTATGGTAAAGCCTAGCAAGAGCTCCAGCGGTGCAGTCTCCAGGCTATAGCCCAAGAGAAAGAGGAGAATGATTGGTTGGGGGGTAGGGAGGTCAGGGGCTTTGCTTCTCAAGTGCACCCCTCCATACCACCTGATGATTTTGTAATAAACACACACACACATACACTTGTTTTTAAGTTGTCTTAAAAACTAAGACAGTGCTGAGAGCACATCAAGGTCAAGGCCCTCGCTCTGGGGGGCCAGGCAAGGCTGAACTGCAGCCGGGTTAAAGGTTGGTTTCTGACCTTGGGTGGAGCAGCCCTTCAAAGGCACTTACACGTGGGGGCACCATCGCCCAGCACTCGGTGAGCTGCCAAGTCAGCAACACTCAAGGCTCGGAGCTCAGCTCACCCCACTCTGAGTTCACACGGTAAACCCAGCGTGTCAGGGAAGGAGCAAGTACCCAACACAATACAGCGCTTGGTTGCCACACTCACCGAATACCCTTCCCACGGTTCAGACGGGAAGACGATGGTTAGCCTGAGGTCCAGGGATGGTCTTCAGGGTCCAGTAAGTCCTGAAATAAAATGCAGAGCTGTATGCATGACGGAGAAGGGCCCTAAGATTTTATCTTGGAGAAGGACGTGTCAACAACAAGTTATATCAGAGATGTCAGACTGGACACAGCTGCTAGCAAAAATGTCTAGCTGCCCAAGACAGAACCTCCCCAAAGACTACTGCTAAGTCTGAAACACGGATTTTAACTTTTTATTTCTCTGGCTCTTTCTGCTCTACTCAGTAAGAATTCATGCTTTATTGGACCACCTAAAAAAATAAGTACATTAATTTTTGCATTTGGCGAATTAGTAATAAAAGACAGCACCTCTCAAGGGTGCTAAGGGTTAAAAGTAACCTTGCCCAAACTTTTGTCACAGGTCTTAACACTTCAGGACATTTGACTTCATGCCTAACCCCTTATTAGATCCTTATTAGAATCCTACAAGGCTCTTTTTTTTTTTTTTTTAATTTACTTCTAGAGAGTAAGGAAGGGAGGGAGAAAGAGAAAGAAACCTGATGCATTGACCGGCTGCCTCTCGCATGCCCACAACCCAGGCATGTGTTCTGACTAGGAATCGAACCTATGACCTTTTGGTTCACAGGCCAGAGCTCAATCCACTGAGCCACAGCAACCAGGATGCTACTAAGCTGCTTCAAAGGACAATAACTATGTCTTAAAATTCCCTTTGCATCCAGAACCTAGTGCTGGTATGGGATCCTGTTGGCTTTCCTTGTCTGCCCATGAATGAGACACATGCAGACGCAGGACTCCTGAAGGAGTCCCATCGGCAACAGGGGTGAGGAAGGCCCTCAGGAGACACAAACTGCCCTGTGTGGTAACTCGGGTGGTTGGAGCGTCATCCCACAGATCACAATTCCCGGTCAGGGCACATGCCTGGGCTGCAGGTACCATCCCAGGCTGGGGCACTTACAAAGTAGCCAACTGATGTTTCTCTCTCATCAGAGGTTCTCTCTCTCTCTCTCCCTCCCCCTAAAATCAGTAAATATGTCTTCCAGTGAGGATTAAAAAAAAGAAGAAAAACCACCCATCCCTAACCAAGTTGGATCTAGCTCTAAAAGGATATTAGATACAAAGTAACTAGTCTTTCTATCCAGAGTTCACTTCACTAGATTCAATGACCTTCATGAGTCAAGATCAAGTGTACCAGTGTGAACATTCCAGGGCATTATCATGCATTTAACCAAAGCCCACACTCAGGTCCTGGGGAAAAGAAATTTCTTTTGACAGCAAAAATTTTAACACCAAATGTTTTCAGTAACCCACATAATTAACAAACAAAGTCCTTCCTCAAGCTACTATTTACTCCCTCCTAGCTAACCCATCCTACTTACATTAGAACAAACCTGAAATAGAATTTCCATAAAAGGCTGCATTTTGAAGAGTTCATTTAGCAAACACTGTGAAATACTATTTTTTTAATTCACTCAAAGAAAAATCAGAGTAAACTCATCAAAAGAACACTAAAAATAATTCACTTGAGTAAATTTGGTTTTACTATATTTGTCAAATATTTACTTTTCTTGAGGTAACCATTTACAACAAACACAGTCTTTTTAAAAGTCCTGCCAACAAAAGTGTCTTATCTTTTTTTTTATGTAATTTGGCTAAAATTCCACCGAAGTTCGTCACAGCAAACACCTTGGGCACTACAATGGGAAAAGACCGGTCCCCACTGCACGGCCCCTGCCACCTGTCCCCAAGCACCGGTCAGCTCCGCTCAGCAGGGCTTTCAAATGTATGAGACTGAGCCCACCCTCAAAACTCAGGCAAAGCCATAAAATATGTACACAAGTACCTGTGATAAAGGCAGAGTTTGAGAGAAAATTCAATGAAATCTGAGGGGAGAAAAAATGCCTTTTAAGAATTTTTACTACATAGCCCTGACTGGTGTGGCTCAGTAGATTGAGTGCTGGCCGGTGAACCAAAGAGTTGCCGGTTGGATTCCCAGTCAGGCCAGGTCCTCAGTATGGAGCATGTGAGAGGCAACTATGCATTGATGTTTTTTTCCCTCTCTCTCCCTCCCTTCCCCTCTCTCTAAAAATAAAAATATAATTTAAAAAAAAGAATTTTTAATATGTAAAGGTTAATGGATTGGGGGGAAGGCTGTAAAATTAATTTCAAACACCATGAAAAAATGCAAATCCAAAACAACACATTTTTAAATTTAAGCCTTGTTTTTATCAAAACAATTCTTCTTGCTCTGGCTGATGTGGCTCAGTGCATTGAGCATGGGCTGTGAACCAAAGGGTCCCTGGTTTGATTCCCAATCTAGGGCACATGCCTGGGTTTGCGGGCCAGGTCCCCAGTGGGGGCAGCATGCAAGAGGCAATCACACATCGATATTTCTTTCCTTCTCTTTCTCCTTCCCTCCCCGCCTCTAAAATAAATAAAATCTTTAAAAAAAAAAAAAAACATTCTTCTTGCATGCTTGGATCTCTTTCAGAGTCAGGAACTAGATTCTGTGAAGAAACCAGAATACTCTAATGAAAGAAGTCTTTCATTCCTTTCCTGTTATTTCAAATGAACTAAGGAATTTGGATCACACACCTAAGAACAGCTCCAGGCTCCCACTGTGTGAACTAGTTTGCCTACAGAAACTCTTACAAACCCCGGAGAAACCGGAGATTAGTAATTTCTTCAAGTAAAGCCACTCCATTGCCAAGTCACTCCTCCTTAACCCCCCAACTTACCACAACTTATCAAACAGGCAAAACTGCACCCTAAGAAAATTAAGAGAGCCCCGGCTGATGCGGCTCAGTGGAGTAAAAGCTCCGGCCTGTGGACTAGAAGGTTGCTGGTTCGATTCCCTGTCAAGCACGTGCCTGGGTTTCGGGCCAGGTCCCCAGTAGAGGACGCGCGAGAGGCAACCACACATTGATGTTTCCCTCTTTCTCCTCCAAAATAAATAATTTAAAAAAAAAAAAAAAGGTAAGAGATATAACGAGTGACAACGGGAGGAGACGGCAGGTCACTGAGCAGTGTCCCATCGAAGTCGGCCGGAAAGTGCTGATGCTCAGCACCCGTAGGAAAGGAATCCTAAGAATTCCGCCGTCAGGCTGGAAGCCCTGTCCGCCCCAGTCCCTCCACACCGCCTGATGAACCTGCACGTTTCTGACTCTAAGGTAGAGTAAGAAACCTTAATTTTTTATTCGGACAACGGCTGGAGGAGAAAAAGAGGAAGTTAGGGGGAGAGGCGTGATAAGCAGCTCGGCTACAGGGCCGAGAGCCTGCACCGGAGGTCTCCACCGGCGCCCCCGCCCCGTAACAAAAGCCACCGCCTACTGGGCAGTTCCGTCGCCCGCAGAAGGAACCCTCCAGGCCGACCTCAGGAACGCAGGCCCGCGGCGCCCGGAGCCCCCGCCCCACGCACCGGGGCCCGAACGCCTCTTTCCCCGAAACCCGGTGGCGCCCGAGTGGCTCGGAGCCAAGACGCAGACACCTTCGGGAGCGTGGGGCCAGCGGGCGGGGGACGCAGAGGGCCCGGGCTGCGCCCGCTCTGGAAGGACAAAGTGCCACATCCGCAGACTCTGCCCGCTGCTTCCCGCCCTCGGCCGCGGCTCCGGGCCCGGCGATGCGGTCCCCCGGCGGAAAGAGGCCCAGCGCGCCCCCTCCGGCGGCTCCCTCGGAGCCCGGCCCAGAGCCGCCCGCCGTCTCGTGGGGTACCCAGGCCCCCTTCCGAGCCCCGGCCCCGCCACACCCACGCGGATACCTGGCAGCACCTCTGAGACTTGCACGGGACGCGCGGCTTCTGCTGAACTGGAGCGGAGATGTGACGCGTCACGGAGCCTAATCTGAGGCTCCCGCCCCGCCCCCAAGGCTTCCTCGCCGCCCATTGGCTGATGTTCAGGGCTGGACCACTCGCCCCGCCCACCCCGCCCGCCCCCGCGCAGACGCGCGCGCTCTAGATCCTGCCAGGAACCACGGGTTCCAGCAGGGCTCGCGCATCCTGGGTCTAGCTGCCCTGGGCCAATCCCGGGTCCTTGCGCCTGGGCGCCCACCTGGCTGGTGCCTTTCGCTCGGCCTCTCGCAGCCCGCCCTTTGCTGTGGGGAAAACGGGGCCGGAGAAAATGAAACAGCGGTTGGACCTCCTCGGGCTTGGGGCGTTGCCTGAGCCCCCACATCGGGCCGGACCTCGAGGTCGACCCCCAGCCCTGCCCCCCACCCCCGGCCGGGCCAGTTCCTCGCCTCGCGGAGCCGCACCTGGGGCGCCAGTGTCAGCCCCACCCCAGACTGGGCTTCTCCCCCTTGCCCTTGAACCCTGGTGTTCTGTGGCGCTGCGGCGCTTCTGAACTCGCCCCCGGAAGCCCTCGCGGCAGCTGGAAAACACTGCCACCCCCACAATGCACTCACTGTGTGTGTGGCGCCCTCCACCCCGTTGACACGCAGGACAATCTCATGTTGAAATCGGAAGGGACTTGGACATCATTTAGTCTACACTATTTTGTTATGTATTGGGTACGAGACAGGGAGAGGGCAAGCGACTTATCCAGGATCATCCCCAAGGTGAGGGACAGCCCAGCCCTGTGTGCTTCCACACTTCTCGGACGGCAGTCGCAGACAGCTACGGGGACAGAGGACTGAACTCAGTACCATGTTCATTTAGACCCACGTGATTCGTCAGCGTCCCAGCCAGAACAGATGGACGCTCCAAAATGTAAAGGTGGGGTCTGCTTGTTAAAGAAGTAATTTGAGCGCGGGCAGGCAAACCACAGGGGTGGAGAAGTTCATAACCTGGGGGCCTGCACACCAAGGGGCCATTGTCAACCCTAGGCCTAAAAGGAGAGGTTTCCAAAACCCACACCTGTGTGGGCCACAGTCATAGCGTCCCCTCAGGAATGGAGCTGGGCTGCCAAAGATTCCAACCTCCTTGGGCTGAGCCCACTAGGAAGCCAGAGACCTAGGGTGGCAGCCCTTTAAGGCCTGCAGGACAGCCTCCTGGGGCACAGCCAGGGTAGGGAAGGGCGGAGAGTATATGGGTAGGAGGACAAATGGAAGACGCTTGACATACGTAACCAGGTGAGCAGAAAGCAAGGTCACAGCTCTATGGTGAGGGTTGGAAAACGGTCTAGGCACAGAGGCAGAGCCATCAACAGCAGAGCCCAGGTCTGCAGATATCTAGAACAAGCCTCAGAAGGGATTCAGGCCTCCTGGACTCCATCTGCCCTAGACCAAGGTCAACTACTCCAATAGTTTATGGCCAGGCAGCCGTCTCGGGCTCAGTGAGAGTAAGCCTATGCCTTTCTTTCTTTCTTTTTTTTTTTCTATCAGTCCACTACCCTGAATACAGTGTGACTAACTTATTGGAAGTTAGCTGGTTCTGCCCAAGGGATCAGAGAGTAATCATTTCTCCATGTTCCTACTCTATAAACCTGGGCATGTGTGTAAAGCCAAGCCTGGCTCTTGGAATGATTGCAAAGCACAGAGATTCCAGCTTAGGTCCTCACACGTAGGCGCGGGTACTCCTGAGTTCACAGAGGTGTCATGGCACCCCCATTGTGAGTGGCACTGCATACAGGAGTGCGTTGGGACTTACAGATAAGGTACTTGCACAAAACCACTTTCCCAGGCAAGAAAGCACTGAGAACGCCTGGGCTTTATCTCTTCTCCCTTATCAGGAAAATGCAGTAGGTACAAAGAGCATGATAATATTTTATAGTTTCTCTGCTAACAGTTGTTTTTTCAGCTTCACGTGACCTTGGAGATATAGATAAGAAAGCAGCTTATTTTCAACCACGAAATAGAGCTGCTTCATTGGCATATATTTTATGTGTACAGTCTGGAAACACATAAAGACAGAACATACATGACCAAGATTTTTGAGCCTCTTAAGCTATTCATGGATTCCAGTAATTAACTCTACGGGAACCGTAAAACTGAAAGATAGAAAGACTGATCCCATAGCAGGTAGTCAACACCTAAATTAATTTCATCAGTTCATTCAACACAGGCCCCTCGAGCCTGTGCCTGATGCCGCAAAGGGTTTCGCACCAGGTCTGAGCATGTGCGACTCCTAAGGAGGGAGACATGGAGGAAATGCTCCTTCAACAGCTGTGAACTCAAATCCTGCAACCTTGACCATCTGAAAAAGCTGCCACTATATTCAAAGGGAAAGAATTCTTGATTTTCTTATACAGGCAACTGTCAGTTATTCTGGGACCAGAAAAACGACTTAGGGATTATGCAGGCCTCTTGCTTTTGATTTCTTCCTCATCGTCCAACTTGTTGCTACTTGTTATTATTATAGCCTGCATACGCTTAAAGGAAGATCCAAGCTGACAGCCAAGGAGGAAGTCTGGTAATGAGACTCAGCTAATTGGTGCTGGGTGATTTTTACCCAGCACGAGAAAATACTTCCCCCCCCCCAGGTTATATTCTCTCTAAAAAGACGTCTTCCAAAAAAGACTCAGCACCATACAGACTCCTGCCTCCTGCCACCGCCATACTGGGGTAGGGCAGCCATTTATATCTGGAGGAGAGTGAACTTAAGGAGAGTGGACTCCTTAAGTCCAGCATGGCGGGGAGCTGGCAGGAGCAAGTGAAGCAAAGGAGTGAGGAGAATTGCAGAGGGATAGCAGTTAAGTTCTGAACTTAAGTGCGGATGGGGGATCATAGGCATTGATTCGGAAATTCTGCAGGCAAATATTGGTTCTGGTAAGAGGATATGCCTGCCAGGAGTACTTACCTTCTCTCCCCGGGGGGCAGAACCTAAGAAGGTACAGCTCCTGGCCTTCCTTCCCCACGTGACATGCTCCCCGACGCCCTGGGCCACTTAGCTCTACCTGGCCACTTGTCTCGGCACTGCCCACAGTCACCTCTAGCTCTGTCTGTATCTCATTCTTCCCAACCAGGCTCTCAAGCCTTGAAGGCCAAGCCTCTCTTGCAGGATTTTTATGACCTCCCGGAACCCATCAACATGTTGCTTTTAATAGGAATTATTCCTCCACGTTTGTCAGTACTTATCTTTGTTCCACAGGGCAGGAATTAGGGGCAGAGCAAGGGGCCCAGTATGAGAGGATGATCCTGGGTTTCCCAAACCTCCCCACTCCTAGAAATAGTAACAGTAACCTTCCCACTCCTAGAATAGTAGAGTAGTAACAGTAACAGTAATAGTAACTCCTAGAATAGTGATAATAGTAATAGTAATAGAAATAGTAATAGTACCATTCACGTGAGAAGGCCCTAGAAGCTTGGGTTGAAGAAAGGAGGCTGCATCCTTGTTGTCCTTGCTACTTGTCTAAGTGCCAAAGGAACGTCGCCTGCGCCGGATGAGTGTACAAAGGTGTGTGCTGGAGAGAAGGGGCGGACCAATTCTTAGCGAGGGTCAGGAGATCTGGAGTAGAGCTGGGTCCAGGGCGGGGGGCCCCTGAGAGGACCGATGACTATAGACGAAGACACCGCACCCGGAAGGCGGAGTGGAGACAGAACAGAAAATACCAGAAGCTGGACGGAGGCAATCCAGGCCTCTCCGGCTCCCACGGCTGGAGGTGGGGTCAGCTGAAGCCAACTCAACAGCACAAGTTCAAAAACAGCTGTGGCCCAGGGAGCCGAGAAGTTGGCTAATTCTTGATATTGAAACATCATAAATATGTTACTTTGAATATACGAACTAGAGATGTAGGTGCATGATAGATTTTAAAGCTGAAAAGCTTTAAAGACCTAGTCTAGCACTTTTAAAGATAGGAAAATGCAAGGTCCCACCATAAAGGGCCCCAGCCAGGCGGACGAAATTGGTGATAAGGGAGCCAGGAAGCCAGGGGTTCCGTTCCGTCATGCTGTGTGCTCCAGACACTTGATCAGCAGGAAAACATTTCAACTAAGAACAAAAAAGGTTAAAGTGAGATTTTTTTTGACAGAAAGTTAAGTAGTGAGTCAACAGCAGCATTTATTTGGAAAATATTTACATTGTTCATTAACTTCAAAATAAAATAAGAGAAACCTCAAGTACTAGTTAAATATTTGCGGTCTTATCGACTCGGTGTGTTTTGCAATGATTTTTTTTATTGATCGTGTGAAGGCTACCTCTGAGTGCCAAAAGTTAAAAAACTTCTGTTACTTATCTTCAAAGAACTTTGATTCTGACTCTTTTTTGTTGTTGTTGAACTGCAGTAAAAATAACAATAAAATTAATTAATTAAAAATAACTCAAAGTTTTCTCCTAAAATTTTTAAAGATTTTATTATTTTGTTTTTAGAGAGAGGGGAGGGGAAGAAGGAAGGAAGGGAAACATCAGTGTGTGGTTGCCTCTCATGTGTCCCCTACTGGGGACCCAGGTCCACAACCCAGGCATGTGCCCTGACCGGGAATCGAACCAACGATCCCTTGGTTCACAGGCTAGCACTCAATCCACTGAGCCACACCAGCCAGGGCTCTTGTAAAATTACCATCATAGATAAATTGGTTTTAAATCTTTTTAAATTTCAAAGTTAAAGTCTATTAAATATATATAACATGCTATACTAAATGATCTCATCTGTGTTGAAGACACCAAGTTTATTTTGGTCAGAATTCCGCCATGAGTGGCTCACGGTTTTGGAAAGCCCGGTCACAGACAGTGACGCCAGTCCTGGCATTCGAGTCACCGGTGCATTTGTGGCTGTCACTTCCTTGTTAGAGGTGATGTTCTTTCTCGTCTCTTTTGACATAGATTCTCCCCCAGGAGGATTTTAATTGGAAATGAATTAAATCGCCCTGGCTGGTGTGGCTCAGTGGATAGAGCACCGGCCCACGAACGAAAGAGTCACCCATTGGGCCAGGGCACGTGCCTGGGTTGCCAGGTCAGGCCTCGGGTTGGGGGTG